ACGCCAATTTAAATTCCATCTGATTCTTTCACTTTCCGCTATCAAATCAAGCAACAATTGTATCGGGGTAAAACTTTGCGTAAATAATGCGTTTAAATAATGCCACTTTGTGACCAAAAATTGTCTAAATCGAATCAAAACTGTTAAATCCCCTAGGTACTGAATATGTGGACCCCACTGACTATAGTTGACTTTTTACCAAAAATATCGGTGTAAGATATACCTATAACTAAAATTCATATAATAAAGTAAATAAATTAAACTCTCGATAAAAGTATGTATTTGTGTCAAAAATGGGATGAATCGGATCAATACTTCCTTCAATATAAAGTTTTGCCAACACCTGAAGTAATTTCTCGGGCTTTGATCCTTGCAAGTTGCGAGAGTATAAAATGTTCGGTTACACCCGAACTTAGAACTTTCTTACTTGTTCATCGTGAAAATCGGTTATATGGCAAAAAATAATCATGCGTATGTGAAGTGGCATTTGTATTTTTTGTTCAAAGTATTTCATATATCTTTTTATGTTGGTAGATACGTATTTTTGCCTTCTTTTCTCGGTAAAATAGCAGAAAATACCATAGAAATTGGTGAATTCTCTACTCGGAATTTTCCTGCTCTGTAAGCCGTTCAATCGAGCATCTTACAAAATTTAATTTGCACCTTTCCCGTCGTTCTCTGGTGGAATCGCAGTAAGCCGACACCAACGATGGCCAAGGCAGGATTTCCCGTCAGGTTAGTTTTGCTATGTTTTTGGTGGAATATATTTACCAAAATCTTAATGGCATGGGCAGCTTCGATCATTAGGAGAGGAATTGTGATCCATCAAGACAACGCCAGGCCAGATTCATTGATAATGACTCGTCAAAATCGATCGGGAGCTCGGCTGGGAGGTTATTATGCACTCACCTAATAGTCTGGATCTGGCATCAAGTGATTACTATCTTTTCTTGTCTATGGCGAATGATTTTTATGGACAGAAATACTCCTAAAGAGAAGCTTGTAAAAATCTACTATTCCAGTTTTTTTTTGTTAATAGGGACCAGAGTTGTTGTGAGAGTGCCATTATGGAAATTAAATTCAAAATGGCAACAAGTTATCGAACAATACGGTGGATATTTGACATAAACTGGGTCATTCTAACTTAAAAAAAATCATATTTGATGCAAAATTATTGAATTTCATTTTACTAGACCTTATACTCGTACAGGTTGGTTTAAAAGTTGCTTGATCTCACCAAGAAATTGCACCACTAGCTCAAATTTTTTTTTTCTAAAGTTGGTACATTGCTCGTAAGAGCACATGCAAAGTTACAAGCCATACCGTTAATTAATTCTTTGTTTACAAGCCTTTGGAAATGTCCGAGTATTTTTTAATATGGAAAAAACTTAATAGCGCGCAGTGATCAGATTCCTTGTTTTGAAAGGTTTAAAAGTAAAGGAAATTTTTGAAAAATTATTAGAAGTGTATAAGGAGTCCTCATCTCCAAAACGTACCGTTGAAATTTGGGCTGGTGAATTTAAACGTGATCGTACTAGGCTTGAAGACGTTCCACACGAAGGACGGCCAAAACCCGCAACCACCTCAAAAATCATTGAGTAAGTTCATAAGATTGTTAGTGAAGATCCAAGTTTGACGAAGCGTGAAATTGCTAATGCCATAGGCATCTCAGACGAACCAGTACTTCATTTTTTTCATGGAGTAATTCATATTTTTCAAATTAAAACCTATTTTTTTGTGTCGTTTTTAACTATGGATGAGACTTGGATCTACCACCATGATCCCAAATTGAAACACGGACGTTTACAGTGGACTGAAGCAGGTAGTTCATCTCTAAAGCAGGTGTAGTCACAACGATCAGCAAAGAATTTTATGACATCAGCTTTTTGGGATGCAAAAAAAATCGGGAGAAAAGACCTGGTTTGCAGCAGAAAAAAATAATTCTTCATCAAGACAATGCACCTGCTCACAAAGGTGTTTTAACATTGACAAAATTCAACGAATTAAAGTACGAATTGCTTGGGCATCCACCGTATTCACCAGACTTGGCTCCCAGCGACTACTACATCTTCTGAAACCTGAAACAATTCCTTCGTGGAAAGCGTTTTTCGTCGAATGAAAAAGCTATTACAGCCGTAGACGGGTTTTTTGCAGTGCTTCCGGAAAGTCATAACAGAGATGGCATAAAATTATAGGAGGATCATTGGAATAAATGTATTGAAGTTGTAACGAAGCTTTTCTTCTGCCCCTGCTTCTTCTGATTTGCTGAGGTATACTCGCCGTGTCCAGGGTTCGTTACAATAAATTTGTAAACTATGGGGCTCTTTACAAATCGCTCTTTATTTAGAATTGCACACTACCACACGTACTTTATTGTATATTATTACTACACTCTCTGGAACTGCGTTTTAGGAGCGCCGCCCGTTGCTGGCGTTCCGACAGTGTCCTTCACACTTCTCTGGAACTGCGTTTTAGGAGCGCCGCCCGTTGCTGGCGTTCCGACAGTGTCCTTCACACTTCTCTGGAACT